TTAAATGTTTTAATATAATGTTATATTATCATTTTGTTTTTATTTTATTCATCAGACAATATAATCTTTAGTGTCTTACTTGGAAAACATTTAAGTTTTTGTATTAAAGAAAATAGTTTTGTATAATTGAACATAAATTTCTACTACGATTGTGTATATGTATTTTTAATGGTACGTTAAAGGGTTAATGTTTGTGTTAATTTGTTTAAAAAATAATTAAGTTCACCTATTTATTTTTATTAATCGTGCTTTATTTCAATTATTTAACGAGACCATGCAGAACATTGAAAGTTTCACTCTATAAAATGTACTAATTTATTTATATTAATATTAATAATTTATTATGACAAATATTATATATTATATATTTTGTTAAATAATAATCTTATGAAATTCTTTTGCAAAAATGTATATAACACGATAGGTAATATTATACTTAAACAAATAAGCAAAAATATTCGTTGAATCACATCGTTGCACATTTTCATTTCATTTTTCGATTTCATTCGTTTTTGGCATTTGGACGATTACATAAACAAATCTCAAAACGTTTTTCGGACCTGTTGAAAAATACGAAAGATCACCTGTCGAATATTCGTACTTCGTCGGTCAGTCGTTAAATAACTATCGAAAATGGAACATGAGTCGTATCATCAGTATCATGCTTCGTTACTACGTTTGTCAATGTATTAATGCACATACATATATAGAATAAATTTTGTAAATTTCATTTCTCCAAATGCAAACGTTATTTCTATAAAAGTATTCTCTATTTAATATACCAACAATCTATAGGGATCGCATATTCTATCTGTATTTGGTTATATTGTTATTTTATATCTACCGTATATTCAAATTAATAACCAGTTTTCATTTTTATTAACATTTTAATTAGAGAGAGAGATAGAGAGAGAAAGATACAACAATTCAAATATTCTCATATGATGTAGGATATTGTTTGATAGAAATAATTCAATAAATAAATATCACACAATATCAAATTTGATTTACGTTTATAGGATTACTTCCTCAAAAATCAATTATACTTATTTTTTTTTTTTTATGGGTTGTTCCAACATTTTATATACGATAATAAAAATAAATTCATTTCAATGATATCAGAGTTAAATATTACAAATATTTATTTACATTTTTAAATTATTATGCATTTTATCGTATCATTGTATGCATTGTAAAAGACACACTACTACAGGTAAAACAAAGACGAAAAGAAAAGAAAAATAAAAAAGAAAAGAAAAGAAAAGAAAAGAAAAAAGAAGAAAAATAAGGCAGTTGTTTGAAGATCAACGTAAAGTTTGTTGGGATACGAAAGAGGTGAGGAAGGGGAACATAATGAAAGCTCTTCGTTCTAATTTCGGAGGGCAAGGAAATCTTTTGAGCGTTATTTGGCGCACCGTAAACAGAGGGTCGCGTAATAAAGGGTTACCCTAACCAATTTCATCCACTCTTCTTCGTGTACTTTACTACTACCATTGGTCTCGTTTTTTTTTTCTTATCATTTTCAACACCGTAATTTTTCTACTACAGGATAGATACATATATATATTATATTTATCGTGTTTAAGGGATTTAATTCTTTCATTTGCGATTTGTAACATCGAGTCACGTTGTGTAATTCTCTAAGGAATCGCGTTTACTTTTCTAGTCAAAGTTGTTTACTACCTTGAGAAAAATCATTAAATATTTTTACAGTTAGTGTAACCAAACGTTGAGATTTTTAAAACCATCAAAGAATACCCCAACACGTTTTCAATGTTTTTCTTGTTCAAACAATGAAACTTTTCACGTAAAGGTAAAGATTAACTTGAATGCTCTTAACATTGTATTTGTTATTTTATCATTTAGAAATTTTCTTTCGATAAGAGACATCTATTATTGATCTAATGTTTCTATGTGACTTCCTTTACATTATTCTTTTTTTTTTTTTTCTCATTTTGCTTGGAAATTTTCAATTTGTTTACGATGGAAGAGTAATTGTCAGAATGTAGGAGAGTGAACAACTACCATCGTACCTGGTCTCGTTAATGGTAAACTTTAACTTTCCTTTCTATGTTAGCCTTTTAATATAATTGCTTGAATATATATTTTTCAATATATTATTTTGTTTTAATTAAAACGTACTTGTTGATCGTGTGTTATATGCGTGCATAAGTTCGCATACTTGCATATATATACAGGCGTTAATTATCGAAAATCCAATAATTATAAATATATATATATTTATTTCATTTTGTGTCTAAGTGCAGGTGAATATTTGCAATTTACATTAAAAGTCATTTCATATATATATATATTTATTGTTAGTTAAAATATTTAATTAATTTATCATTAAAACGACATGCTTTACGTATAACAATTTATATTTAACATCGATTTTTATTTATTTTTATTTTTGTTAACGTTTATATTTCTCGAACAATTGTCGCAAATAATTTTAATCCTAATTATTATTATTATTATTATTATTATTATTATTATTATTTTTAATTATTTTTAGACGATTAAAACAACGATACTTGTATATAAATTCATATGTACACAGGTTATTTGTAATCAATTGTACGAACTATTTTTTTATTTTCTTTTTATTTCTATTAAAAAAAAAAAAAAAGGAAATATAAAAGGGGGAAAAAAATAAAAAGAAAAAGAACCATGTGATTCATGTGCGTTTACATGATTCATACCGAGGCTATAAAATTTCTCTTGGAAATTTAAAAACGTAGAATAAAACACTGTACAAACATCGTCTTTGTTCGAGATAACAAGTATATATATATATATATATACTCGTAAAAAGTAACTTCTGTCTGTTAGGCGTATTTTTATTCTCATTCATCACGTTCGAATAGAAACTCGTTTTACACGTTATACCTGTACGTGTACTATATATATATATATTGTAGTATATATCGACAAAAAGATTTAGAAAGAATATCGTATATAAATTTTCTTTGAATAAGTAAGGGGTTGGAGAGTATTGTACGAGGTAAAGATTGAAATTAAAAAGTAGAACCAAAGTAGTAAGTACCACGCTGACGTGGAACTTTTCTAAGACGTAATTATTCGTTGCTAAGTCCTTTATAATAAAGACAAACGAGCACCATTTCCTTACCTTTCCTTTTACTCTTCTACCTACCCTTTTCTTCTTTACTTCCTTGTTTGCTTTTGCTTTATCTCTCTCTCTCTCTCTCTCTCTCTTTCTATCTTTCTCTTTCTCGTTTAAAACACGGATGCTTTGAAGATATAGGACCAGTAACGTTTCTAAAATCACACCAGTTGTGTAACGCCTAACGATTCTTTAACTTTTCTCCACGTTCAACTTCGAGACTGTGAATATCGCGTTAAGCGTCTATGGTTAATCGCCAACGGCTTGTTTCCAAACTACGAAAAGAACTTTATTTTCTTGATGATCTTCATATTGGAAAGCTAACTCTTAACAACTTCATTTTAAACTTCAATCTGCATTTCGTTTATCTTTATTTTCCCTTTTTTTCTATCCTGCTATGAAAATGATATAAGAGTTAAATGTTTGTATTATATTTATCTAATTATATTTATTATATTTATTATTTATTTTTTATTTCCACCTTTTTATTTAATTATTTTACTCACTTTTATATTACGCTTATTTGTCTCAAAATATGTAATTATTAAATATCTTTTTACCATTCGTTTTAAGATAATTAATTAATTGATATTCATACTTTGTAAACCTTAATCTTTTTTTTTGTTGGATAAATATTCAATGTAATTATTACATATAATTTATTTATAATGAAGAAAGGTAGATTATTTTCAAAGCTTGTTCTAATACACACACACACACGCACAAAGTTTATATATTTCTCATGGGATTTTGTAATACATTGAGAGAGTATTATGTATTTCAATGTAGTGGAATATAATTATCTTTAACGGTTCTTCTTCTTCTTCTTATGTTACGTCTATCCACACACCGCATGCAGGTGGTGCTGCATAGTCAGTATACATATGTATAAAATGTGTATGTACATAGTTATGTACGCATCTAGTATGATACGTATGTACCATAAAGGGAATAAGATATTTGAATTCAAATAGGCGTTGTAGGACACGAGGACTTGTCAGGGAGACGGAAGATTCGATTTACATTATATTTACATTGCAATAACGTACCTCAACGTTTCATATATAAATGTGTGTATATGTATATAATATATAGAGAAGGATAGAGAAAAAAAAAAGAATCAAATCACCATGAAATTTCAATATGATTCGAAATCTCAATATAATTTGAAATCTGCAACAGTTATATTTGGAATATATATATATATATATATATAGATTATAAGGGTATATTAATTTAAGGATCTTATATATATATATATATATATATATATATATATATATATATATATATATATGTATATATTATTATTATTATTATTATTATTAATAATATATTATAATATTATTAATATTATTATTATATTATACCTTTTATTAATTAATATTATTAATATTAATAATACCTTTTATTATATGAAATACTTTACAAAATCTAACAAAATTAAAAATTTGTTTGAATCCACAATTTTATATATTTTTATTCATTATATTTTATTCCTCTGTTTAGAATTAAATTTATTTGTTCTAAATTGAGATTTTTTTTGATCGAATATCAGTATTTCTGAAAATGATTAATTTTTATTTAAAGATTGATGTTTGTATTTATCAGATAATAAAAATATGTGTATGGTAATGAACTAAATTTGGATTGTAGAAGATTTACAGTAATAAATCTTATATATATATATGTATTATATGAAATCAACTATGACATAAATCTGAATGAGAAATTATGTTATATTATGTTAATGAGTTTATTCAAGAGAGAAAGTGTCAAGTAATATATATTAAGATGATAAATAACGTAAGTCAGTTATATCAAGAAAACTTGGCACTCGAGTTTGTAATGTGACTCACGTATTTTGTTTCAGGTATCTTGGGTTCGTAGACGTGGTGAAGAATATCATTTACTTACCATCGGTCTTGACACGTATGCCAGTGACTCGAGATTTTCATTGGCTTTTGAAGATCCAAATGATTGGCGATTATTATTACGTTCGGCAACTGAACGAGATGCTGGACTTTACGAGTGTCAAATCAGTTCACATCCGCCATTAATTAGAATGGTTCATCTAACGGTATCCGGTGAGTCCCATTTTTATTTGTATTTATTTCAATTAATATTTTTTTTTTCTTATGATGTGTGCAATACGTTAGTTTTTAAATTTACTGCAATTTAAATTATTTTAAAAAAGAAGAATTGATATATCCATTTAGATATAAAAAAATTCATCAGAAATATTTATATAATTTTATATATAATTATATAATATATATTTATTTATTTATATTTATAATATTTATTAGATCGAGTCATAAAATAACTTCCGTTTTGATGAGACAAAGAAAGGCGTTTCTACCATTAATAAGTGCACGACACTTTCCATGGAGTTTTTTTGTACTTTTTGTATCTGTTGGACGTGTATCTATTGAATTTTGCTCCAATATTACCTTTAAAAGGTTCGTCAAAGTCGAAAATACGTCCTGCACTCGGTTCATCTTTTAAGATCGTATCTCTAGAACAGAATTTTACAAACCCATTTCTGACTGCCCTATCAGTTATTAATCCTGCACCGTATACGCTGCATATTTTTTCAGCTGCCACTTTAGTGCCATTGCCTTGTTTCAATTCCTAAAGCATTACATGGTCGAATATGCACTTTATACTATCCATTTCAGAAGTTAAGAAAAATGGTTAAATGTAGCATCAGCTACATAAAATAGTTGACAGAAGACTAACTGAATCCTCATCTATACAGTGATATCAAAAATTCGTTTGTTTCGGTGACTTATAGTAGGTAAATACGAAAAATAGATTCTACATAGACGCATCGGAAGTTACATATGACTCGACCTAATATATTATAATATTATATTTATTATAATTATAATAATATTATATATATTCAACTTAGTTATATTGTTACTTTGAAAATTTAAATGGTATCATTTACCCCCATCGTGTTATTTATTTATATTTATTATTTATTATTTTATATTATAATTATACACAATTATATATGATAATCCAACTCTCCCATATTCATTTTTATTAACATATCGTACTTCTAAAAAAAATGATTACAGAAGATCGCACACTTATAAACTAACGCACACTATAATGCAAGAACAAACATCAGTTTGATTAAATGTACCCTCCTTATAACACGTACGAAAGATTCTCAAAAAATTGTGATGTTCTGAAAAGTTTCAAGATCAAAGATTATAAATTTTCAAAGTAAACGCATCGTGTATTAGAAAGAAGGAATAATCCATTTAAACGATGTCACTTTTAACGACTATATACTTGTCAGCCAATCTCTTTTAAGATTACTAAACAAATTTTCAACTAGTAGTAAAAGAAAAATCTCCTTAGTTTGATCTTTTCTTTTTTTATTTCAAATAAATGGATAGAAGGAACATAGATCGAACGAAAAAGGGGATGGGGATGGGGGAAAAAAGAAAAGTTGAGAAAGTAAATAAAAGTAGACGTTGGAAAGTAAGTTTTTGGAAACAAGGTGTACGTCAGGATAAGTCGTTTGATCGAAAGCACTTACACATTGTAGGATACGACGAAGTCAATTTCTCAAAAGCGACATACAATAGGTGGGGGAGAGAAAGAGAGTGAGAGAGAGAGAGAGAGAGAGAGAGAGAGAGAGTGAGATGTTAGAAATAGTATGGATGATCGAGAGTGGTGTTGGGAAAAGGGTTACATCCATTATTCTCTTAATCTCCTTTTGTAAAGCGAGTCTCCCGTAAAGTTACTTGGTCGAGACACATAATCCGCGAGTGAGTGAGTGAGTGAATGAGTGAGTGAGTGAGTGAACTAGCGCGTGCGCATTTTCGTTGAAGCATAAATCACGAAAGGTAGGAGGGCGTCGTTAGGGTCCGTCCTTGTCGGTGGCATAATGGCGACTTAGCCCATCGTAACGATGTCCTTCTCGTGCTACTCTCATTTTATACCGTTTTAGAGTCAGCTAGCTAGCAAACTTGCTAGGTACTTACCAACGTCCCTTAATTGAAACCACGGAACCCTCCTCTCATTGGATCCTTCATTTTCTCCATTCTTTCATTCGGCACATAATCGATCCAGTCATTGACTAACTTTTTACTTACAGATTTCCTACTGAGTATCCTTCTCGCACGATTAACCTTGTAAACGATCAGCGAATTTAGTGATTTACCTTACCTCACCTCACACGTTTCTTCACTTTCATATATATACTACCTTTTTTTTCTATCCCTCGGATCATCCGAAAACAAGTTCACTCGATAGTTTATCTTCGAGTAGTTAGACTCAAAAAAAAAACCTATCTACTTGATAGTACTAAAAGGGTAATTTGCAACTCTAGCTAACGATAAGTGATCGTAAATTTTCTTTATTTCATTTTGTCTAGTTTCTATTAGATAGAGTTCTTGGATATTCAAATTAGAGATAACTGTTCTTCGTTAAAATTACATTTTAATATATAGATACTTCATATGATATATATATATAGAGAATATTTGCTATGCTCGACCAATCGCAAATGAATATCACATCGTTCTCTCTCTCTCTCTCTCTCTCTCTTTCACTTTTTCTATCGTTGAAATCAATTTAATCATCGCATTGTTTTGTGCTTTTTATCGTATGATGTTCCAATTAGATTATTCCAAGAGAATTTGGTGCATAGAGAACGGCAGCTATTACTAATGAAACCTAACTATCTATGAAATTTCATAACGGAATACCTATCGCATAAGATGATTTAATTAATGAACTTTTTGTTAACGAATCAATCGATCTTTCATATCTTAAATATAATAATAATAATAATTTCTGTCAAATTGAATGAACGAACTATATTTTAATTAAACATTTATCATGCTTCTCTCATACTTTTGATAAAAATGTTCAATTCATGTTTTTAAATGCAAAGTTGATAGTAACGCATGTTTAAAATTACCGGAAACGATTAGTTCGGTTAATAATTCCTTAGAAAATTTCTTTTTAGAATTTTAACGAGGTAGTTTTGTTCCGACATTATTACTCTTAATAATTCATTCTCTCTCTCTCTCTCTCTCTCTCTCTCTCTCTTTTACTCTTAGCACGAGTGAGAAAGAGAACGGTATTACGAACGAATGAAATAATGCTACCCGCGCAATATGTCGCGAAGGGGAAAGTTGCTTCTATTTAGCCTTCAACGATCTACTTTATTACAAACTCTAACGGCACACTTATAACTTAATGACATGATTGTACCTACGTTACTCGACATATATACCTATCTAAATCTGTATACATTAACATGTACAGATATACATATATGTATATATATATATATATATACGAGCCATTTATAAAGCGTACTACAATCATCCAATTTATTCCCCACTGGGGTAAAATCCTTGATTTTCTCTCTAATATGCACACACCATTCATATCGTTACCTGCTATAAATCCAACATTTAGAAACCAGATGTTTGATTTAAAGAAACATTTATTTACGATTTGTACAATTGATTTAAAATTTACGCGGATGGGATTGATACATTTATTTTTTTGAAATAAAAATAAATAGTAGAAACATTTCACGTATTTAATTATTTTTTTTTTTTAATTACTGGAATCGTCGTTGATTTTTTGTAATCATTTTATGAACGATAAATATGCAAATATTTTTTGCACAATATATAAATCAAATATATATAACTAGGGGTGCCTCGCCACACGTTGCTGTGGCTCACAATCAGTCCGATACACACGTCTTTAAGTCAATGAATTACCTTATACCGTCATCTGTTAGAATCCTATCGAACTAACAGAGATAATCATGACTCTTTGTTAATAAACAAATAATTCGCAATAAAATAATATTGCGATTATAAATTGAGATATAAACTATCCTATCTTTCAAGTTGGATAAAACTGCATACAGTGTGCAAAATTTTATTAAAATCGGTTTAGTAGTTTAGGAGTCCATTGCGGACAAACAACACGACACGTAATTTATATATATTAAGATATATTAAATATATAAAATATATGTATAAAAAATAATATATTAAAGATATAATTTATATCAATAAAATATGAATATTTAATTAGTAAATTCGAGCGTAAAAGAAAAATATTTATTTTTATTTGTTTTTAATTTAATTAATAATTTGTTTAGATTGCGAATTTTTTTTTGTTTTTATTTATTTTTGTAAAATTAGTAACGCTAGTGTATATATTCTTTTTACGCTAGAATTTAGTGATTAAAGATTAATATCTTAAACGTAAACGTGACTCCTTCAATTAAGTCTACAAGGTGGTGTTTTGCCGTCATACCTAAAACGGAAGGTTGTGAGTGTAACTAGAGCGAAAACTATTACCTATCGTGTCTTCCGGCTTTGCCGACGTTTTATCGTCGCGAACACTAACTGACTATTAGTTCCCTCTTTTCACTTTAAACTCGAATTCCTGTACTTATCTGGGCGTGTCCCTTTTTTATTTTATCTTAAGAATAGAATTAACGTTTTTTTAAGTAAAAGTATCGTAAGAAAGTTTTCACCGACCCTTTATCCTTTCTTTCCGTCACGGAATGTAATTTTTGTTGATAGATGATTTAAAAAGTACAAAATTGTATAATATAAATTTATTTAGACATTAAATATTAAAAAAACATTACAGAAATAATATTCTTCATAATTTTAGATAAATAACCTTTTCATCATCCGGTAAATTTTAATGGAGAACATACCTTTGGATTAATAGGATGGAAAATCGTCTAATTTTTCAAAAATGGAATATAGAACGTAGGATTAGATAAAGTTTTCGTATTCGAGAAGTTCGACATTTATAATTCATAGGGTTATTCGAATAATCGACAGAACATTGAGTTCGTTTCCTAATAACGCACGACGTCGCTTTCCTCGAAACTTTACAAATCATTGAATACGGATAACCTTCTATATGCATAAGTTGCGAAAAGCTAAGCTTATGTTGGATGCGAAACACAATGGAGTTTAGGAATATAGTAACCATAGTTTCATTCTCTATTGGTAAGTTAGACGAAAGGACGAAGTATATATAGTTTGTACCTTGGTTTCGATTTTGAGGA